GTGTGAGTGTGCATGTGTATGTGTGTGTGCATACATACATGAGTGTGTGGAGGTGTGAATGTGTTTCCATCTGTGTGTGAGTGTATATGTGAATGTGCCCTGTGTGTGCACATTCATATGTGTAAGTGTGTGGGGTGTGAATATGTGTGCTTATGGGTATGTTTATGTGAATGTGCCCTCTGTGTGGGTGTGTGCACATGTGAGGGTGGGGTGTGAATGTGTGTGCATCTCTGTGTGTATGCAAGTGAAGCTGCCTGTGTGTGAGTGTGGGGAGTGCACAGGCACACGTGTGTGCCTGTGTGTGTGTGTGATGTGTGTGCCTGTGTGTGGCTGTGTAGTATCCACACCTGTGTGTGAGATATAGGAATGTGTGTGTGAATGTGCCAGTATGTGTGAGTGTGGGGAGTGTCTGCACCTGTTTGTGCATGTGAGTGTGTGGCTTTGCGTGAGTGTGTGTGGTATGTGCATAGTGTCTATAAATATGTGTAAGTGAACATATGCCTGTGTGGGGTATGTGTACACATGTGTGTGCCTGTGTATGTAGGTGTGTGCTGTGTGTGCCTGTATATGTATATGTGAATGTGTTATTGTGTGAAGTGTGTGCGCATGCACAGTGTATGTATGTGTATGTGAATGTATGACTGTGTGGGCTATGTGTGTACATGTGTGTGTAGGTGTGTGTACCTGTATGTGTATATATGAGTGTGTGACTGTGAGTGTGTGTAGTGTGTGTATGTGAATGTATGACTGTGTGCATATGTGTGCATGTGTGTCTACCTGTGTATGTAGGTGTGTGGTGTGCATCTGTATGTGTATATGTAAGTGTGTGACTGTGTGTGTGGTATGTGTGCATGGTGTATGCGAGTGTGTGTATGTGAGTGTATGTGTGGGCTATGTGTGCACGTGTGTGCGTTTGTATGTAGGTGTGTGGTGTGTGCATCTGCATGTGTATATGTGTATATGTGAGTGTGCAACTGTAAGTGTGTGGTGCATGTGAGTGTGTGTATGTGAATACATGACTGTGTGGGCTGCATGTGTGTGTCTGTGTATGTAGGTGTGTGGTGTGTGTGCGTGTATGTGCATATGTGAATGTGTTACTGTGTGGTGTGTGTGCGCGCACAGTGCATGTATGTGTATGTGAATGTATGACTTGTGGGCTATGTGTGTGCATGTGAGTGTGTGAATGCATGACTGTGTGTATGTGTATGTGCATGTATGTACCTGTGTGCGTGTGGGTCCTGGTGCAGAACCACTCCCCCGGTTGGCCGTGATCCAGGGGTCCTCCTGGCTCTTCCCGGGTCTGCCTGCTCCCTCAGGTGGGGCCGGGAGGCCTGGTGCTCAAGGTCCTCAATCACCTCCCGTCTCTGGGTCCCCACCCCCAATACCTCCCCCTCTGACACTTCCTGAACCCCATTCTTGGGCAGGGCCAGGGAGTGGGGAGAGGACTGGGCTGAGCACCCTGCTACTTTGCATGCTGTTGGCCTCTTTTCCCTCAGCCCTGGCCTGGGCCTGGCGAGAATGGGAAGTGAGCTCACTGTCATCTGGGGGGACTTGTGCCCGCCACCCCTGGGGGTTCTGTGCTGTGGCAGGGGGACCGTTATCGCTGCCGCATCGCCCAAGGACCCTGACTCACACCCAGCTCCTCCGTAAAAGCAAACTTGTAGACGAAGCCCGTGACTGTCAGTACCCGGCCTGCTGCGGCAGGAAGGTCTGCCGGTCCAGTTTGGGAAGCTCACAGCCGCGAGAACCCTGAGCAGCAGTTCCACCCTGTTAGGCGAGGTCTCGATGACTCGGAATCGACTTGGCCTGACACAACAGCAGCCACTCGTCTGCTGAGTCCCCGGCTGGCACCAACGGCTGAGTGCCCGACTCCTAGCTGCAGGGTTGGCAGTTCCAACCTGCCCAGAGGTCCCTCGGCAGACAGTCTTGCTGGTGGGTTCTGGAAGCTCATAGCCGAGAGAACCCTCAGAGCACAGAGCCCGTGGGGTGGCCACGCGTCAGGCCCGTCATGTCGGGACTCGGAAGGTGCCTGTGAGCCCCGCTGCAGGCCCCCAGTTTCTGAGAATGCTGGGCTCCGTGCAGATGTTGGAGGTTGGACGCGGGTGCAGGTGTTCTCGCTCTCACGGGGCTGTGGGGATTCAGGGCTCGTCGTCTTCTGAACCCTCACAGCTTGTTTCTTGAGCGAGGAGCAGCCCCAGCTTGGCTCCTGAGCCAAGTTCTTAGGTCTCCATGTGGCCACCTGTCATCGTGTCAGTGGTGAGAGGGGCTGTGGGCACTGGCAGGTGACACATGGGACTCCAGTTCCACATGCAGCTGGTTTTAGTTCATTTGTCAGTGAGACGTGTCTGGAAGGAGGCTCCGACCTGGGGTCCTGAGTAATCAAGATAAAGCTGCTCGGGGAGACCCCTTCCCCCACTCTTGGCGTCCTGTAACCCTACCTGTCACTCAGAAGCCAGTGTTGAACAATCAAGATAAAGCTGCTCGGGGAGACCCCTTCCCCCACCCTTGGCGTCCTGTAACCCTACCTGTCACTCAGAAGCCAGTGTTGGCTGAGGCTCCACTGTGGGTTCCGAGACATGTGCCCTCCCTCCTGTCATATTTAAGGAATGAGCCTGAGGAGCAGCCAGACGTCGTCTGTCACCACTGTGGACTCCAACAGGGGCTTGGCTGCCAAGACGAGATGCGTCCCTGCCTTCCGTCCTCAGGGCCACATGCCCACTGTCCTTTCTTTCTGACTCGGGACTGTTACAGGTAATTAACTAAGCACAGCTCGTCACTGTCAAACCCACAGATCTGGGTCATGAGTGTGGTCTATGGAGCTGGGTTTGAATTTTAGTACCATAACTTCTGAGCTGGGTGACCTTGGGCGAGTGATCTCAGCCGCTCTGTGCTCAGCTTCTCATCTGCACAATTGGGATTTAGTAGTGACAGTTTGGGGCAGGGAATCCAAGGGGCCTCCGTGTGAGGAGCCTGGAGGACTAGCAGGACGTAGGTGTGAGTCCTGTTACAAGTTAGCTGAGCATTAGCTGATGTCAGTTTTCACAAAATAAAATGGTAGGGGTCAGGCCTTGTCCTGAAGAGATGGTCCAAACCGCACTCATGCTCTGTGTCACCCCAGAAGACCTAGGCTGAGGACCAGGCATTGGCTGTGGTTCTGCTGGGAAGCTACGGGGTTTGTGCTGGACACCGCCCTCAGCTCCACCCCCTGGAGCCTACATGGGAGCTGTGTGACCACGAAATCCAAGGTGGACTCCTTCTCAGGGTCTGCCGTCAGGGTGAGTCAGAACAGCCCCCCTTTGGCTCCCAGGAGCCTCCCGTCTTCTGCCGGGCCTGGGAAGCTGCGAAGTCCGAGGCTGGGGCCTTTGCACCTCCCCGCACTGCTGGTGCTAGCCCTTGAGTGGCCCTCCTCTCTGCTCAGCCCCACTAGAGTAATGGGTTGAATTCTGTGCCCAAAATACATGCTTTTTTTTTGGTTAACTTTTTGTAGTTTGAGTGAAAGTTTGTGGAGCAAATGGTTCCGTAATCTATGTGGAGTCCCTGACTTGGGCCTATGGGGTGAACTTATTGGGGAAACAGTGTTTTCCACTGCAGATGTTGTCAGTTCAGGAGGGTGGGTCCTGCTCCCTTCTGAGAGGTGTTACAGAGCGGGCGGACAGAGAGAAGGCCGATGCCACATGAAGGTGCACGTTCGAGCCAAGGACAGTCAGGGCCACCACAAGCTGGAAAGACCAGCAGGGGAGGTCCTTCAGGGGTGACACAGGGGACAGTGTGGCCCTGCCATGCCCTGCACTGCACGCCTGTCTCCAGGATGGTGAGAGAAACTTCTGTCTCCATCACAGCTGCCCAGGGAGACTCGGACACCCGGGGAGCACACGGAGGGTGTAGTGGCCCCAGCAGGACAGAAGGCCGCGCCTGCTTGCCGCTCCCCGGGCCTGAGCCAGGGCACCATGTGCTGGTCTCTGCCCCGGACATGATGCCTGTTGTGCCTCGGCAACCCCGCTGCCCACAGGGGCCTGGCTCCTGTCAGCCCCTCTGCATCAGCCCCAGTCCACCCCACACGTCGTCATTGTTCTTCAGTCGGTGACTCTCACGAAGGACAAAGCTGTGTTCTCTCGTTTCGATTTTCTGGACTGTTTTTGGTTGGTTTCATAGAGAAACATCTTTCCAGAATGTTTCGGGAGGTATTGCGTGCACTACCTCCTGATGGACTGCAGTCTCACCGCACTGCTCTCTGTCAGGGTCACTGTGCTAACACCAGTGTTTACAGAAGACGGCCTTCCCCGCGTGCGCCCCTCGGCTCCCCCGACACAGACGGCGCCTTCCTTCTGACCAGGAAGCTGGCTCCTTGCACAAGGTGCCCTGCTGTTCTCCTCAGGGAACAGGCAAGATGCCCCCTGCCCTCGCGCCCCAGCCTGGAGCACGCAGGGCATGCCTACTTTACCCCTTGTGGAACAGTGTGGAACAAGAGGCAGCTCTTCTTTTAAAATTAATTACATTTTATTGATTTCTGGGTAAAAGATAAAACACATGTAAATGTCCTGTGATCTCGCTCAGGAACCAGGGGCCGGCTCCACATGGATGTCCCATAGCCACCCTTCTTATGGCCCACCCCCATCAGCAGCCCTCTGCTGGAGGAGGGGTGACCTCCAGATACGGCAGCTGAGATTTGAGGAGAATTCCAGGAAGTCGAGGGGGAGGCTCTCACATCGGCCGTAACCACAGATCCTCCCAGTGTCGGCGGGAGCGATGCAGAACCCCCCTCAGAGGGAGGGGTGTGCAGTGGAGGGGACGTGATACGTGGAGCTGAAAGTGGGCCGAGTTCTTTATTCCAATCCCAGCTCTGTCCCCTGCTGGCTGTAAACCTCTAGCAAGTTCCTTAGCCTCTCTGTACCTCTGTTTCCTCATAGGAAAAGTGGAGGTTCCAAAGGCACCCAGAGTGTGACATGTGAGGACACTCTGAAGAGAGACCACATCTATGAAGTTCAGATGGCATCTAGGGCCTAGGAGTGCCTGGTGAACAACGGTGGTGCAGTTGCTGGTGGTGGTGGTGTTGGCGTTGATGCTGGTGATGGAATGGATGATGATGTTGGTATTGTTGTTGGCATCATTGCTGATGGTAGTGTTGATGGTGATGTTGATGGTGGGGGTGTTGATGAGGGTGTTGATGGTGTTGTCACTGTCAATGTTGACATTGTTACTGTTGATGTTACTGTTGTTGATGGGGGTATCGATGATGTTGATGTTATTATTGGCATTGTTGACTTTGGTGGTGTTGATGTTATTGGTAGTAGGGCTGTTGGCATTGTTGATGGTAGTGTTGATGCTGGTGTTGTTGATGGTATTGTTGCTGATGTTGGTGATACTGTTGTCATTGTTGTTGGCATTGTTATTGTTGATGTTGGTGTTGTTGATAGGGGTTTTGGTGATGCTATTGCCATTGTCGATGCTGGCATTATTGGTGGTGTTGGTATTGTTGATGGGGGTGTTGATGGTGTTGATGTTGGTGCTGTTGTTGGCATTGTTGACTTTGGTGGTGTTGATGTTATTGGTAGTAGGGTTGTTGACGTTGTTGTTGATGTTGGTGTTGTTGATGGGGGTGTTGATGGTATTGATGTTGGTGCTGTTGGTATTGTTGACTTTGGTGGTCTTGATGTTGGTAGTAAGGTTGTTGGCATTGTTGCTGATGGAAGTGTTGATGGTGATGTTGATGGTGTTATTGATGTTATGGTGTTTGGGGTCCACTAGGGGAATGGTTAAGTGTGTCATCCCTTAAAGGCAGGATTTTTGGAACTGAACCTTAGGGTATAAGCCTACTATCCCCATTTTCTTTCAGGAGGGGAGACGGTGGTTGGGGCTTTGTACATCTACCAAGGAGCTGGACTCTGGGCTGTAGGAGACCTTGGAATCCAGAGCATGTCAGTGGCTGCCCCAGGTGGGCTTTAGGACACTAATGCAGCTGACCATGGAAGGTGAGGACCTGGGGAAAGAGGCTGCTTGGTGACATTGAGGGTACGTTCATCCCAGCAGCCCTGCAAACTTCCTTCTCACCTCTCAATGTACAGGCATTAACCTATGCACGCTTAGAGTGAAGTGGTGAAGGCATCAAACCATTGAGCTTTTCATAGGATCCAGCTTCTCCTTCCTCCCTCCCAGCATGCTGAATGTTTCGTGTGGATGATTCCATCTCTCTATGTGACAGTCTGAGGAGGCAGACACAATGTGGCCCCACTTTACAGATGAGACACTGGGGCAGTCTTGCCTGTGTCCATGCAGTTAGTAAGGGGTGCGGTGGGGCTTGGCTGCGGCTCTGTGGCCCATGATTTCAGCGTGGTCTTGGTGACCAAATAACCGAGGTGCTCAACTCACAGCAGTGTCCCTACAAGTTCCCCTGAATCTGGTCACTCCCCTAGCACCTCCTCCTGTTGATAAGGGACACTGAACTGCCGGGTGTCCTGAGATCCTGCTCTGTGAACTCCTGTGGTCCTGAGAGCCTTTCTTTTTCACAGTGTGTGAGTGGAGTCACAGCTGGAAAGCATCAGGGGGCATTGCATGGAGGCAGGAGCGTGGAGCAGTGGGGCTGGAAGGAGCTTCAGGTGGAGGGTCCTGGTGAGGTCATGGGATGGATGCATGGCAGCAGCCCTGTGTTGGAGACCAAGAGAGAAATCATCACAGACACGAGTGCCAGGCACATGTCCAACAGCGACAGGAGAAGGGAAAGCCTCTCCAACAGCAACGAGAGGGCAAGGCCTCTCTCACGGTTAAATGCTTACCTGGCAAAACATCAAGTATTAAAAGTAGACGCTTGTTGGGACGTTTCATACTTTGGGTTACTGTGCCCTAGTAAACATTTATCATTTTGCACTCCTTATTCCTGAGGAGGCTTTTGTGATTGTTTCAATGCCCATCTGTTGTCCTGAGCACGTAGAGGAGTAAAACTTTAACTTTGTAGAGAATAAGCTGATTGGATGGATTCCAAGAGTGATGATGTAACCATGTATAAACCTGTAAATAAAGTAGAATAAAGGCATCAGGGGTCGCTCTCACAGAACATGCAGGATGTCCGCCTGGTCCCCGTTCCTTTTAAAAAAGCACTAATCCTTTCATGTCGCTTCGTTTCGTGACCTGTGCGGTTTTGCAGGACGCGGCAGCCCTGTGTACAGGAAGGAGCTACCTTCCCGCTCTCCCTTTACCTGCAGCCACATCTAAGTGCTGACGACTGACGGCCCCTGCCTGTGAGTGGGCCTGTGCTCAGCAGGCCTGGGCAGTGGGTCCCCGCCGTCTGCACCCCTTCACCGTCACCTCAGGGAGAACCCGTGTTTGCAGCTCCCTTGTTGGACTGGCTGCATTTCTCATGTCGTGAGGCCCCACGTTTTCCCTCCTGCATTTACATCCTTGATGTTGAAATAGATGCCATTTGCTTCTTTCCTTCCATTGGAAAGGGGCTTAGTGGGATAAGGCATTTCACTCTGAAAGACCCCAAAGCAAGTATTGGTGAATAAAGAACAGTGCCTCGAGGTTTCGAGCCCACCTGAGAAGGAGGCCTCAAAAGAAAAGCCCCCATGCGCCTTGACCTTGGCCTCTGGCTGAGCTCTGATCGTCTCGGGCACAAGCCGTTTGGGAGAACAATTTGTCATGGCTTCTGTCCTCATCAGCCTTTGCTCTCCCCCAGGATGTGGCATGGACCACAGCTGAGACCCTGGGAGCAGTGTGTCCCTGTGCATGACTCCTCGCGTGCAAGGTGGCAGCTGCCAGGGACCCAGGCCTGGGCGCCCTACACCATCCCCTCCTCCTTCGTCTGCTGTTTGCCACTGGAATTATCTTCATCTAAATCAGGTGAGAAAGGAGCCCTGGTGGCACAGTGGTTAAGTGCTTGGCTGCTAACTGAAAGGTCATTAGTTCGAATACACCAGCTGCTCTGCAGAAAAGATGAGACAGTCTTCTTCTGTGAAGACTGACAGCCTCAGAAACCCTGTGGGGCAGTTCCACTCTGTCCTCTAGGGGCGCTGTGGGTCAGAATGGACTCCACGGCAGTGGGTGTGGTTTGGTCTTTGCTTCCGTGAAGATTGACAGCCTTGGAGACTCTGTGGTGCAGTTCCACTTTGTCCTCTAGGGGCGCTGTGGGTCTGAATGGACTCCAGGCAGTGGGTGTGGTTTGGGCTTTGCTTCTGTGAAGACTGACAGCCTCGGAGACCTGTGGGCAGTTCCATTCTGTCCTCTGGGGGTGCTGTGGGTTGGAATCGACTCCACAGTGTGGGTTTGGTTTGGTTCAAGACAGGTGAAGTGGCTCTTCCAGAAAGAGGAACGCTCGTCCCTGACCCTGTGGAAGTATGGGGAGGATGGCTCACTGAGCCCTGGCCCTGCCACCCCCTGCGTCCCCCTTGAGACACTCTGCTTTCCCAACTCCTCTCCTGACGGCTCCCTGGGCCTCGTAGCATCACAGTCTGTGAGCAGGGACTGGGGCTCGTTCCGTGGGCAGCAGCCAGCCTGATGCCGGAGCCCGGTCCAGGAATCAGCAAGCTCCTGCCCTCTCTCTGCAGCAGGCAGGCCTGGGGCCGGTCGGAGACCTGAGCTCAGGCCCCAGAGGGCCACAGGCTACATGGGTGCTGGGTGCTGCACCCCATCAGCTCAGAGAGGTCATGTGGTACAGGGGGTTACATGGCCTGGCTCTTCTAGCCACGGCCTCTGTGACTCCCCCCACAGACGGGGTGGGGCTATGCAAATGTGAGGTCCCTGTGACCCAGCCAGGGGACTGGACGTCAGTAGGGTCCCTGTGGGGGTGGAACAAGTAAGGTGTATAGAATCTAATGAAGGCATCGGTCGGTTCTGCCATCCACTAGGCTTGAAATGAGCCTTCCAGAGGCAGAAAGGGGATCTCACTGCCATCAAGAGAGAGAAGCCAGGACTGGCATGTGTCCTTGGACCAAGATCCCTGTGCAGAGATGATGGCAGACAGTCCACAGAGTGACGGTGCCACCACAGACAGGAGAACCCAGAGACCCGCTTGGGACAGAGCGGTGGGCTTGCCGGCCCACGGAGAGAGAAAGCTCAGCACCTGTGGGCAGGAGGCTTGCTGGCAGAGTGGGTGCACTTGTCAGCAGAACTGAAAGAGCTTTGTAACACTGGCCCGAGCAGGGCAGTGGCCTCTGAGGGGCCGAGGGCCAGAGAGGTGTGTCTGCAGCATGACCGAGGGGAGTGTCCTGATGGAAGAGTTGTGTCCTGAGTGTTCCTGAACCTGAAGTGTAGCCTGTAACTTCCCTAATACACCCATCATCGTGAGGACTGTCTGCGAGTCCTGTGTGAGCACCGCGATGAATCATGGAACCCAGCAGAGAGGCAGAGAGTGCCGTGGGAGGGACGGCTGGGGTCAGAGTTGGAGAAAGGTTGGGGGGTGGAGTATGTCTGACGTCCACCTCGAGGGAGTCAGCCGTCAGCTGCTGCCACTCAGGGTGGGTCTGTCTCCCCCTCGTGAAGTTAGAGGAAGTCTGAGGATGCTGCCCCCGTGCCCATTTGCAGGTGGGTGTAAGGACAGCTTTTTTGAATATAAGGCCTGGGAACACTGGAAGCAGTGTTCAGGCCCAGGCGTCCATAAAATGAAAAGCCAGAACTTAATGAGTCTCATAAAAATCACCAATTCTTTAGCCTAAGCCTCTCAGCAACTCCACGAGGGGAGGATATTTCCTGCGATCGATGCTGCATGAATGACAAACCCCAGCTGCCTCTGGAGGGAAGTGGGGTGCTCTGACCTGCTTTTGTGTGCGGGCCCGTGTTGACCTGGAGGAGGGTGTCCCTGGGGTCTGAAGGTGATGGGGTGAATACCAGTCAGGCTTCCCACACCCGTGGGCTGGCTGTGCTGCAGGGGGTGTGAGGGAGGGGCTCCCATCAGTGGGAAGGAGTCTGCGCACAGTGCAGACCGTGGACGTGCTCGGCTACTCAGCAAAAGGCTGGAGGTTCAGTCTCCTCAGAGGCACCTCAGGAGACTGGCACGGTAATGTACTTCTGAAAAACCAGCCCCTGAGGGCCCTGTGGGCCTGGTGCTGTCCCAACACCCAGGGCGCGGGCGCTAGGAGTCAGAGCTGGCGCCACGGCAACTGGTTTGTTTCTCAGTCAGTGGGGAAGGACCCCTATTTCAATGACTGGCTTAATCGACTCTGATTTATTCCATGAGGCTGGACATTTGCTGTCCCGGGCGGGATGAGGGTTCTATTTGCCAGGGAGAACGGGCACTAACACTCCCAGGGGACCCTCCAGTCTCTCCTGTGACCATGGAGGAGGATCTCCACTGGCATCTGGGTCCAGGGTGCCCTCCTTTGCCCGCTTCATCAGTACCCACGCCCCAGATCCAGTGATGCCCCTCCCTGCCCGGCTTCATCTGCAGTGACTGTCCATCCATCCGAGCCCTTCCCAGTCACCATCTAAAATGAACCCTGTGCTCAAACCACAGGGCCTGGAGCTTTCATGATCATGGGTCCAGTTCAGGGCTTTCATCCCATTCACTGTGCTGGGCAGCTTCACCGTCATGTTTCCAAAGCACAGTCAAAACCTGGAAGCCCCTCAGTTCCTGCCCCTCACTCACTGCCCAGCACGCAGTGTCTGGCTCCCCTGGACGTCCCAGCAGGGCCACTGTGGCCGCCATGCTGCCAGCCCTGCCCATATCCTTCTCTTGTTCCCAGGTGTC